CAGTAGTAGGAATTGGCGATGAATTTGATGAGTTTCAGAGGTAGGAGACCAAATGCAGCCGAGAAGATAGCGAAGAAATTGAAATCTTGAAGCGCGAGAGAGTTGAATAGCAGACGAGAGAGAGAAGAGAGAGTCTAAGGAGGCCAAGAATAGGGTTAAGAGGTGAGCATTTACAAGTTTTGGAAAATGGGAGATCTTTGATGGAAGGGAGGGGAGAACATACCTGCGGCGGATGGAGTTGCAGCTACCGGCGTGAAGGTGAGTGGCGGCGACGGGGGAAGAAGAAACGAAGCTTGGCTATTGGAGATGAAGAAACGGGAATGGGGAATCGCAGGGAATGAGAGAGGAAACCCGGATATAAGCTACGGAATAGGAAAAGCCTCCAACGGCTAATCCAAAACTTAAAAGGGAAAGGGGATGAATTTTTTTTAAAACAAATATCAGCTCCCTTTCCCCATTTCCTTACCCCTGAACCAAACGCCCCCTTACAAGTTTTGGAAGATCAAATTGTGGGAGAGCGTTACAGTATCCGGTCACTGCCCGACCCGAATGCACCAGCCCCCCGATTGCCCAAACTTGTTTTAAGGATGACCGACAACGGAGTGGTTGACGGTGACAGTAGTAGCTGGTGATAGAGAATGATTAATGGTTAAGAAACATATGAAACACTCGTATATTGATATCTTTACCAAATTCGAAAGATATCAAAAACTTTCATTTGAAGGACTTATGATATCTGGAGATTTCGAATTTTATATTTTTTTGGCCCTCACCAAATATCCAAAAAAAAAAATTAGTATATGGAGATATCAAAATACATACTCCGTAGGAGATTGAGGTGTAGGGATTCTAATGGAATACTCCCTTAAAGCAAAGAATTAACTATAATCATGTACTTCCATTTTGGAATGGAAGTCATGCATTGTTGAGACTTACAATACTCTTACCAGAGGTTAACTTACAGCTGAAACTATGAATTTTAGCACTACATTTAGGTTTAGATTTGACATCTTCTCCCAACAGCTCATTTTATCTTTGTAGTGGCTCACTCAAACACTTACCCGATTAAAAAAATTAATGAATACCAAAATACATTGAAGAATTTATACTAAGCCATTAAAGAGTTAAATTGAAATATAACTAACTAATTGATCAAGTCTCAATCTTTGTTAGAACCAAATACATTTCATTATTTTGATGAGTATCTCAAGTTCATCGAAAGTAACTAAGACAGAAAATGTGCATAGAAAATGAAATACCTAATTGATAGATAATGGATAGATAAGGAAGAACTCTAAAGATGAGCTGCTGTCACTCCCTCAGAGCTATCCTCCGCCCTTAGTCTGTGGCCTCTCTTTGCTGTTGGAGTTTTTAAAGAAAAAGAGAGAAAAAAGTGGCAACTAAAAACATCAATGCAAATGAATTTGCCAATTAAAGTTATTCTGTATTTGTTCAAGAGAGAAAAAAGTGTGCATTCTATCAACCAAGTTTAGTCCAATAAATTCCATCATCTCCGATGGAGTCAAAATTTCACCATTTTTGGCTTTGGGGTGTGATGGAATAAATCAAAATGGATCTCTAAACTATCTGCGCTTCTTTAATTAATGAAGTAGCAGTTAGTCAAACACTGCAACTTTCGATGTTGAGCCAGGGGTCTCTTTGGAAACAGCCTCTCTACTTTCGAGTAGGGGCAAGCTCTGCGTACACACACCCTCCCCAGACCCTACTCTTGTGGGATTTAACTGGGTTGTTGTTGTTGTATAGATTATTGTCATTTATTTCACTGACAATTTTTTCATTCTTTCTCTGTTAAAAGTTCAAACTCAGCAAGTCAGCAGCTACCCTCCTTGTCTCCTCAGCCTCTTCATTTATCTTTTGTTGTTTTAGTCGTTTCAAACGCGGGAGCTATCGTTCTCTCCTTAGAACCAAATATGTAGAAAGACGTTTAAATGAAAGAAGAAAAGGATGTTACCCCTAGCAATTGACCCATTCACAACATAAGGTTCATACTAAAATTTCAGTGAAACATCATCAGGTCAAATATCCAAAGCAAAGATCGAAACAAAATAAAAAACTGAAGACAAAAACATCAAGTTCTGCAAAATTTGTATCAATGCCATTGAATAAATAGATTAATCTATTAAACAATAAATATTTACAGGGAACCAAGATTATACAATGAAACTACCTTTGCCTAGCTGTTTCAACCTCCCCTGTAGTTGTTTTCAGGATCCCTTTGTTGGGGAAATGGTCAAAAACTTAGCCAAGCCCACCCACTATCCTCGCCATGGTGCCCTTCCACCTTTTGCAGGCCAAGAGTTTTAAATCTGGAAACCGAAATGATTAACAGCCTAAAATTATGTTGTAAATGCAGAGTATAGATATATTAAAGAAAAAAGAAGAAAAAAACATTACCTTCATTGAATCTGCTCATCGCTCATATTATCTTCAAAGTTTAACTATCGTCAACCCCAAGCCTGATTTAATCTGTTATTCGGTGAGCACCTGAT